GTTGCCCTTATACCCAATTGTTTCTCAATTAAATTGAAAGAGTTTGCAGCATGCAAGTGCAACAGTAAATAATACAGCTGCATGAAAGCTCAAAGACTGTCAATCAATTATCCCATTAGTGGAAAACTTTACAGAAGAGTGCTGTTTGTCTTGTGTGATTAATAACTGAAGCATGTTCCAGAGGGCCACACTCTGCTGCAGACTCATCGAGTCCATTTGAGGCCGATAACAAGGCAGATGGGGAGGAGGGGGGGTCCTGCCGTAACCTCACTGTTATCCAAACCAGCATCTCTTATTCCTTTGTGCAAAAACATTAACTTAACAACAGAACCGAGGTCATCCACTATTCTCTTTATGGAGCAATCACAGGAGGCAAAATGGGCTTTATTGAAATAATGAGCATGCACATACAACATCTGACACAGACTCACAAGATTTCTCTGTGCTTTGAAGAGAACAAACACATCGGTGAAACTTTAAGCATTCTCTTTATTTCTCTTCCTCAGATATCTTGTGAAAAGAAAACAAATATCATCGCAGACTCCAAAGCACTTCTCGTCTCCCGTGTACAGAACTAATCAGCCTGTGTTACTCGCCCAAGGTCTTCCCATTTTTTATTAGCAACATTCAGCCCCCAGAGTGAGGCAACATGAAAGAGAAAGAAGAGCGCTCAAAAGATGGCTTCGTCTGTGCAATTTATGTCAATCTCACTTGCTTTAGCGTGTTTACAGAGAGATCAATTCCCAAACTCCGAGGGCCAACATTGTCAGAAATGAATAATTTACTAATGATAACCTTAAACTTTCTGTTTTTGCCATAATTGCCTCTGTAATACTCTTCCTGATTTTTTCTGCGCCAAACAGACATGACGAGAATCAAAGCAGCGCTGCTTGTTTTTTTCACAGCGGTGACAAAAAAAATAATCACTTTGACCTTCTGCTGTTAACAGACTTGGAAAAGTAGCTTTCAAAGCGCTAACTGTGAAGTTATGATGTCTTCTAATTTCTTCGAATGTCTACACATGTTCCAAATAACTTATCTGGATTTTTTAAAGCATTTTTGATAAATACAAAGCTCGCACTGATCAGTTTTCCTCGCCCTCTACTTAGCCCTTTAAACTAGTCTGAGGCCAACAGCTCAGTGCTCTGTTATATCCATTCCACAACTGAGAACTGTTTAAGATCTTGCATAAGCATTAGGGCGTGAATATCTGCGCTCCACGCATGGCTCATCAATGAATTATGGCCCACTGCTTTCTAAAAGATACCGCTGTGTGAGATCTGCTTAGCAGATGAAAAATTACATCTACATCAAAGGGCTACTCTTAAAAGTCCAAGTTTAGAAAAATTAATATTTGATAATGCTCAAAGTCTGCATAAGCACACAGGCAACGAGCGCCTGATAATCTCTTAAGAATACTAAAAGCCCTAATATGCCATATTTACTGATATTACGGATTAAAACAGCATATAATATGCGTTTAAAAATCGTTTTGCATATCAAACTACAATTTGTGAGCAGTGATTTAATGGTAGTTAATAAGACTAATTTCAAAAGGCACAGTACAGATACACACACTAAGTTTCTCTCTGCCACCTTGTGGTCATTTTCTCCAACTGCAGGGTTGAAGTGGAAATGAAAAGGGTGTGCAAAACATTTTTTTTATTACTATCTTACAATATACCTGACATTTTAGAACCTGATACGGACACATGTGAGGTGCGCATAATATACAGCTGTTATTAAAGCCACAAATATCATACTGTAGGTTTATAACCAGGCTATGACACAAATGATAAAGGCCAGAATTTATGGTCTGTGGGAATTTCCTATTTTAAAAATCCAAGCTGCAAAGTATCTGCTTAGTTATCTGAGTTATTTTTGGAATTGCTACAAATACATGGGTAGTTTGACTATGTAGCATTGAGCTACATAAAGAAGTAGGGACAGCGTAACTAGACTGTCACAAACTTTGTTATCAATTTATCAGCACTGAAATGTAACCACTTGAATTCAGCTTTGAGCCACTTGGACTCTTCCACATTATGATGATAAAACCTGATTTATTGCTATCATTTAAAAATGATCAAATAATATAATGTATATTCATACACAGACAAAGCTAACATGCAACACAGACTGATTCAGTACAAAGCGATGCACAGGCTGCATTACTCAAAAGCTGAACTGCACCTTCAGAGTGTGTCTGAGTGTGATAAGTGGTGCTCAGCCGACGGCTTAACAGCACTCCTTCTTTCTTTCTGCCCTACATTATGAGACTTCTGGTCTGTAATTTTCAAATGTCATTCAGAGAAACGAGGCTCAGCCATGACCTGGCCATCTTTGGGTGCTCCGAAGATACTTTTAAACTTTCATTTGATGTGCAGCTCTCAGCAGTGAGGTCTAAAAAAGTTATTCTTCCTCTTTTTTCCCCCAGTATATACGGTAAACAAGAAAATGTAAATTTCTTGTATTAATATATTGACATTTCTCCCATTGAAACAAGTAAATAAGACACTGAATAATGGTTACTGTTTATAATGTCAGGCTGCGGTGCTGTAGTTGCTGTTTGCTTTTCATTTTAAAATCTGTTTTATGATGCTCCTGCTCTTTCACCTGCAATATCTGCAGCTTGTGTGCAGAACTGGGAAAAGTTTCTATACTCTGGCTTTATCTGCGTCACCGTGTCCACTTTAAATCACTAATAAATCACAATTTTCCCGAAAATACTGCCTTTAATGACGTGTCGCAGCAATAACTGCGCAGGTGTAAATAACGTATTAATAAATGTCTGGGAAAAAGGTCATCGCTGGTTCTGAGCTGACGCAGACGTGTGACTCACGTTTCAACTCGAGTTTGATTTATAATTGAAAAAAATAGAATTTAAAATGCCGCAGAGTGGTCAGGTGCTGACCTTGAATTCAGACTGAGGTGTGAAGCAGTTGTCATTAGCGAGCCAGTTCACCTGCGCTGCTGGAGAGAGAATATATGAATTTGCTGCATCTGACGTGGTGAACTTGGTAATTCGCATACTGTCTTGTGCCCCGTGATTTAAACTGGTTGTCTGCCTCTCTTTGTTAACCAGCTTCAGCATAATGATGTAGTTTTCTGTGATGTTCCAACACCATGGCTGGAGGCAGGAGTTTAGTCAGCAGCGTGCAGGATCAAGAAAAAAAAAAAAAGTGAGCCACTGAAAATGGAGAAAAATGGCTCGCAGTACCCCAAGGTAGGAAATAAATTGCAGACGATAACTAGCGAAGCGAGGCACAAACAGCATAATAAATTGTTCGAGATTTTTGCTCTCATTTTGCAGAGCAAAATCAAACTTTGGAGTACGCAGTTGGCAGGCCATTAAAAGAATTACTTCATGCTCTGAAAACAGAGGGATTGTGTCAATCCCTATATCTCACACAAAAAGACAACACGCTCCTCGGAATTGCTTTGTGTTTTCTGCCATCTAGGTGGGTGCAATGACGAGCTCAGATCACAGCGAGGCAAGCACAAATACAGTAAGTGACTTGGAAATATCTCTGAAAGAAACATATCTCTGTTGAATAAGGCGCTAAACCAAAAGTTAATACACACTGGCATGGAGTAGATAAATATTTATGCACAAATATTTATGTCTTACAGTTTCGCAATATATCAATATTAATGATTAATGATCTGCATTCCACACTTTTAATAATTTAGCAAAGATAAATAAGTCATATTTCGCCCACTCTATAAATATGCAACAGATCTGGAGAAATTTCTGTTGTCTGCAGACTATCTCTTGTTGATAATAGCAATCACTGGAGCAATGTACACTGAAAGATTTGTTAGTTGTTTGCTTAATCCAATTAATATTTCATAAGTTTGTGAACATGAGAATTACCACTCCAGCAGTGATGCAGGCACCACACGCAGGCTGGGTTTCCCCAAATGCAATGGTCACAGACATTACTTCACACAATAAAAACAGTAAGTTTTAAAATCCACTATTAAGTCTGAGCTTTTGCTATGAAGCAAAATCTCAATATTCAGACTGAGGTGTTTTTTAGACTCTAGAGTTAAGTTAAGTGAAATTTATGCAGTAAGATTGCACCAGTCTTTTGGATATGTTTGCTAAAATCTTCTGCACGCCATCCAGAGATCTTCTTCAGCGTCTGAGGTTCGTTAATCACACGCCCTGTCCCGGATTGTCTAAAAGGAACCATGTGGAGTAAGGCAACATTAACAAAAATGTTAATAAATACCACCACACTTCTCTGAAGCACGTGATGACACGCTTTTCTTCCCCCTGACTCATGAAGTTTGATAAGCTTCGTGGTTTTTCCAGTGGAAACATGGAAATAACACTTGAGAAAACATGAGACGGTATTAATAATGCATTCTGCATCATTATGCTACAATTTAAATGAGGGTTAAAGCTCACTGCTTTACTTGTACAAGACCAATTGGACATTAAATATACAACAGAAGCATTTTTCCTCCACCATATTCACTCATTCATTGGATGCATTTTCAAATGCAGTTCAAGGTCACATACACTATGAGACATTTAACCCCTTCTGTCCTGTCCTGCTTGCACTTCAAGTTTTTATTTCAGCTTGGGGAAGCACAGTGTATCAAAGGATACGTGCATCTCGATTAAAAATGTAATGCAAAATCTAATCTAATGCGACTAAAACGTTTTGATCTTATTACTATTATTACTATTATTATTATAAAGTGCGTGTTTCTGTAAGAGCAGGTAAGCTCAAAAATATTCATAATCAGGTCAAGGTCATTTATGCCATTCACTAATTGTTACAATGTCAAATTCGAGGACGTCTGATAATCTAACAGTGCAAATGCGCCGTTTTCTTTGGACTAAGGTGGACACAAGGTGTAGGTGTGCAGTTCGGATGACGCTCGTTTCTCTACCTCCTACCGTGAACACCCCTCTCCTGCAGTCCAGAGTGCAACCTGCGTGCTTTTACAGCAAAATGGCGACAGTCTAATAGAGGGAGAGAAGACGGTGTCAGGCGCAGTGACAAACTTGAAGACATGAGCGCTCGTCCTGAGGTAGGTGTTACAGATGCGCGCAGTGATACGTCGTAGCAGGTGCGGTCATTAGTCGGTGATGTGTCACTTATGTCGTAGGTCGCTGTGAAGGCAAAACACCGCAGTGAGTGATAACAGGCAGCAGCTTTGTAGTCTTACCTTAACTTAAGTTGCTTCACTATTGCGACACTCACTCTTTGTCCAAGATATCGCTGCTGGAGTTTCTCCGTCTGTGGGAAGAGCAGCAAGCTCGCTGTCGCATAGCCAGTCAAAGTAAAGTCACGGCTCTTAGCTAGGGAGCTTTTTGCTGAAAAGAACAAGACATAGCAAACTGAGTGATGCAGGACACTAAGAAAGTTTTAAGCTGCCAGAATTGCCAGTGGCTAAAATAGAATTTAATTCAAAGAGCATGCAGGGTTTAGACCCTAAGTTGGGCTTTTAGTGGCTGAGCTGGCAATACAGTGGAAAAACACTACTGGAGAAGCATTCGTTAAGGGAATAGATGAACGCATGAGTGAGGTTGCATTTGACCTTGAGTCATAGCAGTGGCTATGAACTAAATGCATGTAGTGTACTGGGAACGATACAGCATCCTGTAGCAGAAGCCTGTACTAGCTGTCACTGGGTGAGAGGTGAGGAAGTTCTGTTAATCAGTTAACCCACAACACCCAGTCAAGATGAGCATACAGTAAGAAAACTCTTTCCTGAAAAGCAACAATGAACTTATCAAGAAGGCGCCTCATGTGGCGTTTGGAGAAACATTGCTTTATTATAATTTTGTTTAGTTATGAGCTCAGATTTATATTTATAATGAGTGTTTCCTGTGTATTTAGGGTTTTACAATTTTTTGCTGTGAGTGTGCATCGCATTCCTGTTATCACCTTTATGCTGGAGGTTTAGTCAAATCAAAGTGTAGACCTACATAAGTGAGTCCATCACTCCCTGCAGGTGTCTAAGGAGGAGCTTAAACAGCTATAGAAAGAAGGCAGCTGCAGCTTAACAGCCTAGTGTTGGTTTTACCGCATTAGTATACCGCAGAGAGTAAAGGAGTCAACTGCTCGACTAAATAAATCAGATGGTTGAGGCATGTTATCCACGAATTGATTATATGTCACTTGACAAGGTCAAATATTTTAACCAAGATGCCTGAAGTCCCTGAATGCACAGCATAGCAAACAGTTACGTGTTCTCTGTTGGCCTGGCTGGCTGCTTACACAGCTATAAATGAAGACACGTGGGACTTCTTAAATGGGAGTACACTGGCCTGAATTAGCAACTCAGCTGAGGAACAGCTGCAGAGATGAGATATTTTAGTAATCAGATGCTCCGACCAAGAATTTGCAGGAATATATCAGACGGGAGGTTTTCATAGAACCACATTGACTGGACCACTGTAGTGTTTCTCTTGGTGGTGAACATTTCAAGCCCAGTTCAGTTTCCACTGGGCCTGAAACCAGATATTGCTTCATTATTCTAAACCACATAAAATGGTGAAAATGTCCAACCCAGTTTTTCAGAGTCCAAGATGACGTCAGTGAGGGCTTGTTTTAGCCACTCAGCAGTGCAAATGCTCAACTACTGCATAAAACAGTGAAAAGCAGGAAATCATTACATTTAAAGCTTGAGACAAAAATTTTTTTTTAGCATTTTTGTCCAATATTTTATGTAATGTGGTGCAAAATATTTTGTTAAACTAGTAACTGCTTAACTGACTAAAGATATTTTAGCTCCAGTTGACATATTTCTTAAATTTTAATCCTCTTTGACAAAGCTTTTCCTGATTTTTGGTAAATGGTGAAAGGACTGATTCTTATATAGCGCTTTTCTACTCTCCCGGAGTACTCAAAGCACTCTATACAACATGCCTCATTCACCCATTCATACAAGCACTTCTAAATACAAGTGCAAAGTAATCTACATTCACACGCATTCACTCTCCGATGAACGCATCGGAGGGCAACTTGGGGTTAGTATCTTGCCCAAGGATATTTGACATGTAGACTGGGGAAGCCAAGGATCGAACCACCGACCTTCCAATCAGTAGCTGATCTGCTCTACTATTTTTGTGTTCAATTTAAAAATAATGAGGGAATGCGTGGATATCGCCTGGTCCTGATAACTGTGGTGATGCTTAAGTGTGATTTCTACCCACAAGGAAGTCTAGCGAATTATACCAAAGCTATACAGCCATGCCTTGACAATATATCGGGGGTTGTGACTAATTATTTTCATCACTGATTAGTGTAAAAATTATGTTTTTTTTCTTGCCTACAAATTTTCCGAAACCAGTAAATAATGAACTTGATTTGTGCTTGATATTGTAAATATTGCTCTATCATTTTCTGTTGGGGCCCCAGAGAGTCAAAACCCTCTCTAACAGGTTAAAACAAATACTTGATTTATTACTTACTATTGATGTATTACCTCGATACTCATGCCTTGTCACATTTTTATAATGATGATTATGAATCTGATTTTAAACTGATGCTCTGTTTTGAGAGTCACATAAAATGACACGTGATCTGTTTGTCAACAAGAAAATCAGCTCTAAAATATGCTGACAATACTTTTTAGCTTCAGAAAATAATAATTAGCTTCTTTAATATATTTCATAAAACAAGTTTCATAGACTATTTTTTATAGTCTAAAAGGGCGGACAACCCTAATATGGAACGTGGGTAGGGCTTTAGCCAAACAGAAGCTCCACCCACCTGCTTTTTAAATCTTTTTGTTTGGGAGAGAGAGCCAATCAGAAAAAGGTGGTTCAATGAGAGGAAGCTGAAACACCTTGTTTCTCACAATCTGCAGGATTATTTCAAACAAAAAGGCTCCTGTGATATTCATCAAATATGCAATGTCAGTTTGTGACAAAGTGAGGTGACCAGACCACTTCACTCAGTTAAATTGCAAAAATAAATTCTTACGCTTGCGTTCTCATTACTGTCCCAGTGATTTGATTTTAATATAAATAAATAAGTTAGCTAACCTGGTCTTATTGGTGGATCCCAGGTTAAGAAAAGTGCTGCTTGTACAGTGTGTGTTAGCAGAAAGAGATGGAGTTAGATGATATTTCATTCTGCGTGGTCATTTTTTTCCCTTACATCTGTGTGGATTGCATTTACTGATGACCGAGTGTGGTCAAGTTGGCCCAGTGACATTTGCAGCCTTAATCATTTTTGGTTGCTTGGCTATTGCATTTTTCCAGTAATACGCGATCATAGCAAGTAAAACAGGCAAAAGAGCTGAAACACCAAAGGCAAAAAAATTCTTACAGAAATAAAGTTGGTTAACTTGAAAATTATTATTGCTTAAGTTCGCACAAACAGTGAAGATTTTAACGGCTCCAAAACAATAAGAAAGCTGCTGAGAATGGAGACATACCCCCTCCGGCAGTGTGTGTCAGATGGACTCACAAAATCTTACCAAGGCTTCTCCCCTCATGTGATCCGTTTAGTGTGCAGCTTGTCAGCATAATAATTCTAAAGATTCTGAACATTTACCTGCTTTTGGCTCTGATAGAGGTGTTTTATGAGAACAGTGTGGAGTAATTATTGCTTCAACATACACTGATAAGTTAGGGCGTTCTGATTTGTTCTTTTGTTTTATTTACTGCATGATTATCCATATCAAGCTTTTTTCCATATGACAAAAGACAGGAGCATTAATAGGATATTGTCTCTCTTTAGAAGTCATAATGATCCATTCATGGTTTAGTATTCAGACAGGAATCACAACAAGGTGACATGCAGTGAAGCATACATGTCCATAATTTGTTTCAAAGAGCCGCTGAACTGAAATAAATGTATTTGAGCAGTAAAGGCGAGCTTAAAACGTGTGTTGATTGTGTTTTAATTGTAAAGCAACAAAGTGTGTGTGTGTCTAACTTTCTTCTGCTATCATTATTCTAATCATAATCTCGGAGCATAAACCTAAAATGTGACCCTCTCTGAGAAGGTGTTATCATGCAGAGGCACAGTCGCGTGTCTCCTTACCAGCTTAACACCTGAAACTGTAGCTCAGATGTGTGAAATGCTCTGAAACTATAGCTGGGTGTGATTACCAGTCAAATTAAATCTGAGATGTCAGTTACATGTGTCAGTGCTTCCACTCCTACTCTTGGCAGGTTGCGGGGAGTGACAAGCTGGCTGTTGATTATTTTCCAGTGTGAAACAGAATCACTGACACACAGTTAGTGTTTACAATCCCCGAGTCTTTGTTTAATTTCCTTAAAATATAAGTGACTTTTGTGATTTCTGATGTTGGAATTGCCATGACACTGGCATCGTACCGTCAGTAAATACTCAGCTGACTGCTGGATGGTACGTGCTTCTTCTCTGTTTGTATTAGCGAAATGTCAGTAAACGGTCTAGTAAAATCGAATGAAGCACAGATGTTGCAGAAGCTGTTTGTCTAGAAGTTTTGTCAGCATTCTGGTTTAAAAAGCAGCAATTTTGTAACATTACTATTTTTTGACCCAACAGATTAATGAAAAAATATGGCATGGTTTTGGCAGCCTATCCTAATGTAATAAGTCAAACTCCCTGCAACATTTTAGCTGTCTTTAACAACATTTAGTGATGTGAAATGGCATGCAGTTTATAACAATGTGAAATGGGTTGGATGGCATCATAGCTTTAACAATGCCATGTTAAGGTTCCACCTCTTTACATTACCTTTTTACCTTTTGTTATTGGCTCCATCTCTGAAAGTATCCCCGGTTTACGAACCTTATTTTTAATATGAGAAAAGATTGGGTTTCAACCACTTAACGGCAACCACGAGTAGGATTTGTAACAAATCGATTTTATTTTTTCTGTGGTTTTGCATTTGTTTCTGCAATTTAAACTCTTGTTTTTTGTTTGTCTTTGTCCTGCTTCATTCACTGCTGCCACTTCTGCTGCAAACAGTATGAAGATAATGTGAGAGCTTTTCATTTCCTTGATTTGTGACGGCAGCTCTACTGTGAAGGATTCTTAGAAATGTATTGTAGATGAATACCTGGGGTTAAAGGTGCATGCTCG